ATCTACTCCGCTACGAGAATAAACATTAACATGACCTAAGTGTTGTTTTTAGGGAAACACTCTTGTTTTGGGGGAAGTACTCTACTCGGTGCTAATAAGCGGTGTTATTTGGTGTTTGTTTTGATACCTAGGCCTGGGGGCGGGGGTAAAAAAAACACTCCTAAATAGGGCAGTATTCAATCAAATACCTTTTTAACGCAGCAATCCCTGGATTGTTATAAAAGCACCTACGTCTGTACTGTTATATTATGTTTAAGTAGATAGTGAGAAAATTTCAACATTCCATCCATATGTATAATTTAAATGTGACTGGAAACATCTCAGCTCTCTTTTATGATTAAAACCCACCTCAGCCTCCGCCCACTGAGGTCAGGTTCAACAATTCATTAATGTTGTTTTACGTATATACTTTTTATCGTATAGAAACACATAACACATGCGACCCCTATAGTGGCCAAGAGGGGATATTGCTAAATCGCGAGAAAGCGACAGGGTGAGAAAGCGATAGAGCGATAAAGCGAAAAAGCGAAAAAGCGAGAAAGCGATGTCCCCTCTCGGCCACCATAAGCATGGGTTGCTGAAGACCTTTTCTACCCCGAATCTTCACGGGTCGGGGAAACGAGATGAGTTTTTACGAACGTGTAAAGGCAATTGATCATACCGATGAGTTAATACATGTTGCAACTGCAAAATTAATTTTCGAAGACAGCGTTCCGACTTAAGAGAATACAAACTTTTTAATAGTCTTGTCATTTTTAACAAGCAAAGACATACTATTACTGGACTAACTGAGGCCACTAACCCGTGTCTACGGCGACCAGTGGTCTAACGCTGGGGAAGAACATTACGGTTCATGCCACGGCAAGAATCAATCGGTCGTGGGTTCGAATCCTAGATTCGAAACGATTACGATCCTTGATTCGTGGGCATCAAACGCATGACTGGGGGTTTAACGAACATGGCGCCTTCCACATGTTTCATTTTTAGTCTTTCTTGTCACGTTCAACAGCTATAACTGAAACATGGCGGTGTTGAACCCAAATCTGTAATAACTATGTCATGTTGTTCTACACGGGATGTATGTGCGCTACAGCTAAGATATATCGGTCGGCTATAGCTATTACATGAATGAATTGCATGACGTTTCAAATGTTTACACACTCCATTAAAACAAATGTATCGGCCAAATCGCTTTCAAATAAAATAATTTGGCGCCAAGTAGAAACAACTCTTTGAGAGAAAGCATAAAATACACAGTGTAAATATATGAAATACACAAAGCAAATACATCTTGTTGACGTTCTAAACCGAAGATTTGGATACAGGATAGACAGAAACCATTACAGTCTAGAGTATTTTGACATGGTTTACGGAGGAAGTATCTACAAGAGATGTAAGCCTAATTCGACAGATGGAATTCTGATTATTCTGAAACCACACTATTGAAATAAACTGAACACGTCAATTCTTGAAGGAGCTAAGCGGAGCTGTGCTTCCCCGTGCAACGCGCTTTAACACAACCTTTTCATCATCGCTTTACACCCACTTCCAACAATCACATTCCGCAGTGGAAAGTAGTCCGCTGTTTGCTCAGAGTAATCAAATTTCTTTCGGGCGGCACGTAAAGAGACGAGGGCCTCTTTATGAGAGAAGCACGCGGATGAGATTGGGGGGAGGGGAAATCAACACACATGCTTTTATGGATGATAGTTTGATCGTGAAAATTGAGGAAAAACATCACCTCAGATCAAGGTACCACGGTGATCATAATTACAATGTTAATGATGTCCCAAAATTAGGAATGCTTTCATGTATAATAAAATAGCTATGCTTTTGACGTCTTGATAGAGTTGATATGACGTTAGGGCAACTTGATAAAATGATTAATTGTACAGCGAATTATGCCTGATGACCCAGGCCACCCAATCTCCAATTTGATGTGATCGCCTCCGTGGTCTAGTGGGTAGACCCTGTGCCCGGAGAACAGAAGGTCAGGAGTTCGATCCCCAGAAGCGTCAAACCAAAAGACGATAAAAGATTATACTTGTTGTTACCCTGCCTGGCGCTCGGCATTAAGGGGCTAAAACAAGGACTTCTCGGATCGGAGTCAATATATTGTGTATGATAGGGGTATCCATGTTAAAATGTGGCATTTCTTAGTGGGCTAGCTCTAAAAAACTGGCATTAGTCCGGACAGGTGCACACACACACACACACACACACACACACACACACACACACACGCGCGCACGCACGTCACTATGTACTAGTACTGTGCAATAACCTTGAACGCGACCTAAAACCCAATTTCACCTCACCTCCAATTTGGTGTCAGCATTTCTAAATGAAAATATACATACACTCTTCTAAAAAAGACAGGCACAGGTCGATTTTTAGTAAATTTATTTTGCCTAATAAAGTCGATATATTTAATTTAATATCATAGATACCAATATGACATTTTGGAGCTCGATAGTCACATGTTGTCGTTGTGCAAAGGCATTGAAACCTGTTCATTGTCATGTCATATTAGGCCGCAAAGTTGCGCGTATATCTTGTGACTGCTCTGTTCTGACGTTGACGTACACGTCGATCGAGTTCATCCCAGAGCTGTTCGATTGGGTTGAGATCTGGAGATCTCGACTGCCAGGGCAAGTCGTTGATGTTGGCATTGTGAAGGTAGTCTACCGTGACACGAGCTGTGTGCGGTGGAGTGTTGTCCTGTTGAAACAGCTACCTCTGGCGGTCACTTATTGGTAAAAGGTGAGCTTGAAGAATTTTATGTTGCGATTCATGTAGCGATTTGCTGTCAAATTTCCCTGAACCACAACCAAGTCAGACCTCGTGGTGTAGGGTATGGTCCCCCACACCATGACACTGCCGCCACCGAAATTGTCGAATTCACTTACACAGTGTGGGGTATAACGCTCATTTCGACGACGATAACACTGCAAACACGAAAACGTCGTTTTTTCATATATGGTCACTGGACGGGAAAACGACGTTTTTGAACGCTTTCAAACCATCGTTTTTTCCGTCCAAATGACGGCGATATTTACATCGGAAGTTACTGAGAGAGAGACAGAGAGAGCGATATCATCAAGCTCCCCCTTCTCTTGATTGACATTGACATTGTCAATCAAGCAACAGCTTTTATCGGTATTTCTACTTCTAAGATTTTCATTGGTCAGTTCTCGCGTGTTAGATTACAGGCCCGAGTTTGACGCTGTACTCGTAGCACTTAGCGGAAGTGCTGAATTCAATTGTTCTGCGTATTATTTAATGCCTTGTCCAAATTGCGAACTGTTTCTTTGGATTTAGTGACACCACTATTTGACAGTGATACATAAACACATTCTCATGATAAGGTCGAAATCGTTCAATGTCGCTTAAATTCATGGCACGTACTTGATCGGGTATTGGAAAACGATTAATACTTTAACAAGTTATATAATCGTCAAATACGCAAACTAATATCAACCTAAATCATTTATGTTTTGTAGACGCTGATCTTGGTGTGTATTTATATGCATATATATTTTTTCGATATTGCTTGGAATTAAGGAAACTATGTTTATTTATAATTTTAAGGTTCGTCTACTTTCTCATTTGCACATGACACATTAAAACAGTGATATTCTTAATGTTATAATGTAGGCGACAATGTTTTGCTATTGTAAACAAATTAATGTCCAATTCCAAACTGGTGATGCCTTTTTAGACTGATGCTTAGTCTCTAAAAATATACAACTCCATATAACTCCAAATAACTCCATTCAAATTGAAGAGGAGCCCCAGTGAGATTTGAGAATCAGAGATGAACCTGGGGAAAATCTAACTTGCTTCATATAGGGCCTTTGTATTATAGAAAGGGCTGAGCGAAAGGGAAAATGATCTGTTTAGAGACAGACAAGTGTCAATTCTATGGATATCTAGGCTGCCACCCACCGATCCATACGGGATCCGAAAGCTTATTGTATGCTATGTAGTCATATGGAAGTGGACCAGAATTATACATTGTTTTGCGCGCGATTGTGTTCTTACATTTACTTTTAGGTCAGGAAAAATGTTTTAAAAGAAGAATTGTTAAATTTAACAGTTGAACTTCTTAATGACATTGTAAAATTCCTGGCTGCTCCTCTATCTATGATGTTTAGACGGAGTAAATCTATTGTGTCATATATAATCTCTGTTTACTGATATCTAATATGCAAATATTGTAAAATATTCAGATGTTTTAAACGTGTAATTGGATTTGGTTTTGTTTATTTGTTGTTTAACGCTGCACTCAGCAATATTCAAGCTATATGACGGTGGTCTGTAACTAATCGAGTCAGGACCAGACAATCCAGTGATTGAAATCATGAGCATCGATCCCCACAATTGGGATAGATGACATGCATCAACCAAGTTAGCGAGCCTGACCACCCGATCCCGTTAGTCGCCTCTTACGACAAGCATGAGTTGCTGAAGACCTATTCTACCCCGGATCTTCACGGGTAGGAAGTTCGTGTATCTCACATAACAGATAGACTAGGCATTCCTGCAATTCCAAAGTAACACTGCATGGCTAAAGTACGAAGTTTGACTTCGTATTCTTGAAGATACCACAAACAGACAGTCAAATATATGAAACAATGTGCAATAAAACGCCCAATCATAAAAATCACTGATACACCTCTTTCCTGGTTTGCAAAATAGTTATCTTTCTTCAGCTTGAAAGAAAAACAGGACCTGTTATTTAATTCAAAACATAACATTGACGCTTAATTGTAGAATTATTGAATCTATATATACTATAGATAATGGTTCCAAGGCTGCAAGAAACTAGGTTGACATGATGACATAGTACAGCTGTATGTCTTATCTCCTTCCCAGTCCACCACGTCTGTGATAGTGAAAAACATTCACCAAAAAAGGCAGCCATGTTGTGGCACCGCTTGACGGTTGTGCTGATTCCTTGCAAAAGGAAAAATGTATTATTTCTTGTGGCAGATGACATGAGACCAGATCTGGATGTATATCAAGGAAGAGACTCTCCCTCCCCCGTCAGAGAGAAGGTCCACGCCCCAAACTTGAACTCTCTGGCAGGGAAGAGCCTTCTCCTCCGTCGTGCTTACGTCCAGCAGTCAGTGTGTTCTCCCAGCCGCACCTCCCTCCTCACTGGGCGCCGTCCTGACACCACCCACGTGTACGACCTTCACACCTACTGGAGGAAGGCTGCTGGCAACTTCACAACCTTACCCGAGTACTTCAAAAGACATGGCTACAATACCCTAGGCTTTGGGAAGATCTTCCATCACGGAGACGCATCGGGAGATAATGATCCAGTGTCATGGTCGGAGCCATGCTATGAAACCAGACCAAAGGTGAATAGCTTTGCTGATGATGGGAATTCATGGCGCGCGGTACCAACGTCTCTCTTAAACAGCAATTCCCTCCAAGACACCGTCACTACAGACATGGCAATTCAGAAGTTGAAGTCCATTGCACCGAAAGCTCGATCTGGACAGGAACCCTTCTTTTTAGCAGTTGGTTATCACAAGCCACATCTTCCATTTGTCTTCCCGGAGAAGTTTCTAAGCTACTACCCAGATCAATCCATTCACGTACCTCCCAATCAGTACGCCCCTCTGGACATGCCCTCTCTCGCTTGGATCACGTACCCAGAGCTGCGGTATTACAAAGACATTGCTGCTCTGAATGCAACAGGGGCGCCCAATACAACCCTGCCAGCCAATGTAGTAAAGAACCTGAGACGAGCCTACTACAGCTGCATCTCCTACATTGATGAGGAACTGGGAAGGGTCCTAGCAGAACTGGAACACCAAGGGCTGGCAAATGACACAATCATATCCTTCTTTGGGGACCATGGATGGCAGTTAGGTGAACACGGGTTGTGGACCAAACACACCAACTTCGACATAGCTACCCATGCCCCTATGATGATACATATTCCCGGACTCACCGATCAAGGAATACCGACAGAAGAGCTTGTGGAGTTTGTGGACCTGTTCCCTACACTGGTTGAGGCAGCTGGTCTGCCGTCTCTTCACGTCTGTCCTGAAGATTCCTCCAAGGTGGACGTGTGCACAGAAGGACAGAGCTTCCTCCCTTTGATCGAGCAGCCCAAAACTGATAATTGGAAGAAGGCTGCCTTTTCCCAATATCCAAGACACTCCCATGGTCGCCACAAGCTGATGGGTTACTCGATGACGACCGGTCGTTATCGCTATACCGAGTGGGTCGGATTTGATGCTACTCATTACAAACCCAAGTGGTCAGTGTCTTCTGGTGCGGAGCTGTACGACCATTATCAGGATCCACAAGAGAACATCAACTTGGTTCATGACCCTGCCCACAAAGACCTGGTGGTCAAGCTCAGCCATCGTCTTCACGCAGGATGGAGGCATGAGTTGACAACTCAACATGTACCGTCTATTATTGGGTAACTTTCGAGTAATAAATAACTGAAACTGGTATCACAGTTTTTCTATATTAGTAGTAGAAGGACATGCGTGAGTGAGTGAGTGATGCCACTGAAAGAAGTGAGTGAGTGAGTTTGGATTGATGGCGTTTGAACAGTAGTTCAGTTACATCATGATGTGACAGTTTGATGTGGGAGACCCGAAATGATGCAAGTCTTTGTCGTGTAACACTTGATTGATTGAGTGAGTGAGTCAGTTGGGTTTTCCGCGCTTTTAGCAATATTCCAGCCTACCACGGCGGGGTACACCAGAAATGGGGTTGACACATTGTACCTGTGTCAGGAATCGAACCCGGGCCCCGGACGTGACGAGCGAATGCTTTAACCACTAGGCTACCCGTCCGCCCCATAACTTGAGTGAAATCCACGAGCACAGGTATGGTGCTGGCAGTAATAAATGAGGTGTGGTGTTAAACGTCGTGTTCAATAGTGTTACACTAACATAGGGACGTGCATGCACGTGTCTGTTGCTACTTGAACCAGTCTGGACTTATGCAGGTTTTATAGCGCTTGCCCACTGAGACACCATGCCACAGTTTAACATGGATATCCCATTCAGACACATTATAACGTTTTTTGGTATGACGTGGCAGGGACACACACACACACACACACACACACACACACACACACACACACACACACACACACACACACACACACACACACACACACAAGCACACACGCTGATTCGAGATTCGAGATTCAGATAGTTTTGTAATAACCATGCTCGAAATTACATTTTCGATGTCAGTGATGTCAAAAATAAGTGATTTCTCAAATGAACAGATTTAATACAATACCGTTCAACCTATGGTGGGTCTGCCATGACCACCCGTCATCTCGGCTCTCCATCCAGCACGTAGTTGCCCCCTCAACCGGCTGCGAAGTCCTTGTTGGGCAGCATTGAGCGCGAGGTTGTGATTCTCCTCAGGATCAGCCAGATGGTCGTACAGCTCCACTCCATGAAGCTGGTCCCACTGAGGCATGTAGTGGGGCTTGCTGAGGAACGTCACCCATTCAGTGTAGCGATACCTGGCCGTGGTGATCGTGTAGCCCATGGCTGACGTGTTGTTATACACTCGTGGGTACTGCGAGAGGGCTGCGGTTTTCCACGAGGGCAGATTTGGGTGCTGCAGCAGAGGAACTAGACTCCTTCCTTCTGTGCAGTCTTGAGTTGAGGACGAGTCTACTTGACACGTAGGCAGTGTGGGAAGACCTGCTGCTTCTACTAGAGTTGGGAACAGGTCTACAAACTCTGTCAGCTTTGTTGTGCTCATCCCATGGTCCGTCATCCCTGGGACACGGATCATAAGAGGCGAGTGGGTGGCGATGTCAAAATTGGTCTGTTTGCACCATTCCCCGTGTTCTCCCAACTGCCAGCCATGATCGCCAAAAAATGACACTATCGTGTTGTCAGCTAGACCCTGATTCTCCAGTTCATCTAGAACCCTCCCGAGTTCAAAGTCCATGAAGCTAACAGCGCTGTAGTAGGCTATGCGCAGTTGTTTAACCACCTGGTCAGGCAAGGTCGTGTTTGGGTTGCCGGATGCATTCAGTCGGGCTATGTCAGCGTAGCCCCTAAGTTCATTATATGATCTCCAGGCAATATCAGGCATGCCGTCAGGAGCTTGTGGGTTGGGTGGAAGATGGATTGAGTCTTCTGAGTAATAATCCAGAAAGCGAGCTGGGAATTGGAACGGCAAATGGGGCTTGTGGAACCCAACTGCCAGGAAGAAATTCTCGCCATTCTTTGCCTTTTGGGTGATGTCCTTAATGACTTGCACTGCGTGGTCGGCTAGCATCGTGTCCTGCAGGGCATTGTGGCTGTCCAAAAGATTATCCGGTACTGCTTCCCAACTTGACCCGTAATTACTGGGTTAAGAGTCATCATAATATGTCTCAGACCACGAGGCAGGATCATTTCCTCCTGAAGCCTTGCCCGGGTGGAATATTTTACCAGCTCCAATGCTGTGGTAGCCGTGGTTCTTGAAGAACTGGGGAATGGTCGTGAAGTTACCGGCAGCGTCTCTAAAGTAGGTGTTAGAGTCATACACGTGGGTGGTGTCAGGACGGCGCCCAGTCAGCAGGGAGGTGCGGCTCGGGGAGCATAGAGCCTGCTGGGTATATGCCCTCTTGAAGACCATGCTTTTACTGGCGAGGCCTGCTAGATTCGGGGCGTGAATTGGTGGATGGACTTGAGATGGACGGTAGCGGCCATTGTACATGGGCAGCTCTGGACGCAGGTCATCGGCGACCAGGAACAAGACGTTCATCCGGGCGCTGACGCAGGAGATGAAGCAGACGACATATATTCCAAGCTCCATGTTTGCGTCTTTTCTGTCGTTGGACGATTTAATTGTGTGACAGGTTTAAGGTTACAGTCAAACAAGACCATCTTATATACCTTGTCACGATATAGGATTGTCTTGTGCCGAACAAAAACGTAGGGCACATGTCTGCATACGTACGAAATGATAACGTCTTCAGTTATAAGGTCAGTTAAGTCAGTTATTAGGTTAGGAGATTATTCAGAATATGTTTGATTCCTCAGATATTATCTTATTTGACTAACTTTGATGAGCTCAAACTAAAATATATTATTGTTTTGCAATGTTAATTGACTGATTGTTTTATATAGTTCGAAAGAGAGCGAGAGGAAAGAGAGCGGGAGAGAGAGAAGGACATATAGAGGGCGGAGAGCGAGAGGAGAGAGAGAAAGAGAGAAGGGAGATAGAGAATTGAAATAGCGCGAGAGAGAGTAAGAGGAGAGAGAGCGAGGGAGAGAAGGGAGTTAGAGAATGAGGAGAGCGAGAGAGAGCGATAGAGAGAGAAGGAGATAGAGCGTGAGTGAGAGAGGGGGAGAGAGAAAGAGAGAGGGGAGATAGAGAGTGGAGAGAGCGAGAGAGAGAGTGTGTGTGTGGAGAGAGAGAAAAGGGAGATAGAGGATGGAGAGCGAAAGAGGGCGAGTGGTGAGAGAGAGAGAGAAAGAGAGAGAAGGGAGATAGATAATTGAAATAGCGAGTGAGAGTGAGAGGAGAGAGAGAGAAGGGAGTTAGGGAATGGGAAGAGCGAGAGAGAGGGCGATAGAGAGAGAGGGGGAGATAGAGTGGAGAAAGAGAGAAGGAGAGGGGGAGATAGAGAGAGAGAACTAACACGACGATGGACCGTTGGGCCTCCCAAGGCCAACATTCACCATTCAATTTGGCATTAACATTAACAACAATAGCCATGTGTATATGTATATGAAAGTGTGATGCAACGTTCAGTGCTCCAGACCACAGGACCAACCATGTCCTCGGGAGGAGAGAAAGTTAGTCTGAACGAGGGATGGAGACAGATCAGACAAAGGAGAGATGCACGTTCTAGAAACAACGGAGGATAGCGTATGTGCACATGTTGTTTGCACAAAGGATGATTTAGTGAGCTTGGGAAAGACTTTGTTCGATCAAAGCAAACTTCACGAATAAACCTCAAATATTAACCAGTGTATTAATGAAGTAATACAGCCATTAGAATGTTTCGCTTTTAACATATTTAATTTGGAGTCTCTGTATCTGACCTGTTTACTTGGTAGCTTGTATTCGTTAATCTGAAGTTATCTGGTTTATTGATGAATCACTGTATTCACGAACGCACATGGTTGATGAATTAATTGCAATTACTTTAAAAGTACCTTTCTCATATTCAAAACTTACCATTTGAAAGGCACAAAACAAATATTTGACATGCATAATATGAGTCACGGGCCACCTGTTGGTGATGGAGGGAAGGGGAGGAGAGGGGGGGCGGGTGGGGGGGCGGGGGCAGGGACATGGCAGTTGATGGAGTGGACTAGCGGGGTGCGGAGGAGGGACTGACTGGGTAGATTAAACATCCACAGAATATACAACGCTTTCCATTCACAATATATCACATAAAATGTAATATATTATTCGTCGTTTTGAATACCACACAAAGGCGTTCATATATAACAGTATAACCCAGTGTTCCATCCTATACAACTCCACCAAACAAACACAACGAACACTGATAAACCCCCTTGTAGCGGCAGCGACTGCGTATCTTCGCGACTGGTTCTGGGTACGCATGACGGAGCGTCAGTCACTTTGAACGCGCGAGAGGTGCAAAAGAAGGGGGTCGGTGACATGTTTACCGCGCAATAGGATATGCTTTTATTTCGAACGATGAAGGAAATGACAGTTTGTAAATCTTATGAGTCATATTCTCCTGGATGAACAAGCTGCTGAAACAGTCACGTCACATATATTCCAGATCGGCTTCACTGGCAAGGTAGGTACTTATTCTATCTTATGTGGCAGGCAGATATTTTGAATATTGTAAATAAGTAAATACATAAATGATCTCTGTGTAGTGTATGGAATCCTAATTCATCGCTGTGTGTTTGATGCTGTCCACTACAGTGAGAAACAGATGGTTGATTAAATACCTTTAACATTACAACACTCCATACAGATCAATAGAAAATACGTAAAGATTAATAGTAAATAGGTTCAATTGTACAACACCTCATACAGATCAATAGAAAATACGTTCAATTGTACAAAAACATGTATCTATCAATAGTGAATAAGATGGGGGACATCGCCGAAATCATGGCTGATTGTATTGCAAAATACAATCTTGTAATTGCGGGTGTTCTCGGTAGTATATGATGCTACAGTGTGTCATACTGTTGTCCGTAAATATTCTTTTTCACATTTGATGTATGATCAATTTGAATTGTGTCTCTTGTCTTATGCAAAGTATATGTACTTGCATATAGTAATTTGATAAACACCGCTGTGAGTGAGTGAGAATGCTTTTACGTCGCTTTTTAACAATAATCCAGCAATACCACGGCGGGGAACACCAGAAATGGGTTTCACACATTGTACCCATGTGGGGATTTGAACTGGGTCTTCGGCTTGACGAGCGAACGCTTTAACCACTGAGCTATCCCACTGCCCCCGTCGCTGTGGTGTTATCAAAGTTGGTATGTGTACTTGTGTAAACTACACATAAGGAGAGACATCGTAATTAGTGTGGCCACATAGTTAACGTTGATAACGATATGAAGGACGTTACTATGATTATCTTTAACATATGTTAAATCATCTATCATTGTAAGATTTGATGTTTATCTTAAGTATAGTTTTGTCGAAACTATATATGTGTGTGTGTGTCTGACTCACTGTCTGCGAACATAGGTGGTGGATAACGCCATAACTCACATCAGAGCGCACAGTTGTTAATAATTGTTACATAAATATGTATATTCCTGCTTGAGCCTATACTATAATCGGATATCTAGTCTCCCCCAGCGGGAAAGTTACAAGCACTTTAGCATAACATGTAATTCCCGAAGACAGTTTGATCGAAAGGAATTATAAGAAACATGTTGTTTTAAAATAATATTTACAACGCATTTCATTTCTATTGTCCAAGGAATGTGGTTACGGGTTAATGACGCTCTCAAAAGTCGTATATGTGACTTAAGGTAGAGACATATATCTTATCGATCTGTATTTAGTGAGGGAACCATAACTGTGTACATGTATAACATTTGTCTGCATAATTTACATGCATCTTTATCAATATAACTGTCATCCCGAAATCTGACGAGCACACATTCGGCTTCAACTCCAAATCTGATGACCGACAAAATAATTCTTTGGACGTTGCAAACAACAAATAGTGGCTGATAAAACGGACAATTATTTGTCAATCGCTTTCTCGCTCTATCGCTTTTTCGAATGAGTAACCATAGTCATATGAAAGAATTGGGTGTTCTTTAAGTTCTTTTGAATAGTAGGTACTGTAAATCTTGAAATTTACGTTAGAGTTAATTATAACTGCAAAAAAATGAGAGTAGACTTAATTAATTAAACTTTGCATTTATGCCTCAGAAATGACTGCTGATAAGACGGTCTCACTGCACACTTTGAATAGCGGAAATACCAACTTGAATATAAAACCAATCTATTTCCACATTACGGTTTACTGAGAATAATTTGTCATTCAAACACAAGAAATCACATATGGACATCCGGTAGTATTACCATTGCTTGGGTGAGGACTTCCAGTTTGATGACATCTACTCCGCTACGAGAATAAACATTAACATGACCTAAGTGTTGTTTTTAGGGAAACACTCTTGTTTTGGGGGAAGTACTCTACTCGGTGCTAATAAGCGGTGTTATTTGGTGTTTGTTTTGATACCTAGGCCTGGGGGCGGGGGTCCAAAAAAAACTCCTAAATAGGGCAGTATTCAATCAAATACCTTTTTAACGCAGCAATCCCTGGATTGTTATAAAAGCACCTACGTCTGTACTGTTATATTATGTTTAAGTAGATAGTGAGAAAATTTCAACATTCCATCCATATGTATAATTTGAAATGTGACTGGAAACATCTCAGCTCTCTTTTATGATTAAAACCCACCTCAGCCTCCGCCCACTGAGGTCAGGTTCAACAATTCATTAATGTTGTTTTACGTATATACTTTTTATCGTATAGAAACACATAACACATGCGACCCCTATAGTGGCCAAGAGGGGATATTGCTAAATCGCGAGAAAGCGACAGGGTGAGAAAGCGATAGAGCGATAAAGCGAAAAAGCGAAAAAGCGAGAAAGCGATGTCCCCTCTCGGCCACCATAAGCATGGGTTGCTGAAGACCTTTTCTACCCCAAATCTTCACGGGTCGGGGAAACGAGATGAGTTTTTACGAACGTGTAAAGGCAATTGATCATACCGATGAGTTAATACATGTTGCAACTGCAAAATTAATTTTCGAAGACAGCGTTCCAACTTAAGTGAATACAAACTTTTTAATAGTCTTGTCATTTTTAACAAGCAAAGACATACTTTTACTGGACTAACTGAGGCCACTAACCCGTGTCTACGGCGACCAGTGGTCTAACGCTGGGGAAGAACATTACGGTTCATGCCACGGCAAGAATCAATCGGTCGTGGGTTCGAATCCTAGATTCGAAACGATTACGATCCTTGATTCGTGGGCATCAAACGCATGACTGGGGGTTTAACGAAGATTGCGCCTTCCACATGTTTCATTTTTAGTCTTTCTTGTCACGTTCAACAGCTATAACTGAAACATGGCGGTGTTGAACCCAAATCTGTAATAAACTATGTCAAGTTGTTCTACACGGGATGTGGGGCGGACGGGTAGCCTAGTGGTTAAAGCGTTCGCTCGTCAAGCCGAAGACCCAGGTTCGATTCCTGACATGGGTACAATGTGTGAAGCCCATTCCTGGTGTCCCCCGCCGTGATATTGCTGGAATATTGCTAAAAGCGAAGTAAAACC